AGCTGCAAGAGTGAGAGAGATTTTAAACTTGGCTAAGAAATGGTTATAAAATAATCGATATTAAGTCTGTTTCGAACATTTGTGTGCTCGGTCTGTTTTATAGCTTCACTGTTTTTATTCTCTACACTTTTAAATATACAGCCAGTGGACTATTATCTACACCTGTAAAATCTAATGCAATCCAATACAAGAGCTCAAAACTGATCTGGCGGTGATATTTATTGGTTTTGGAGATTGTAATCTAAAATGTCAGAAAAAAGTTAAAATTTCATAGTTTCCTAATGTGGCCTTATGTGGCATCTTCCAATTTCTGGTGTCCAAAACCTAAGGAGTAACAGAGACGATGGGGCTAGGTCAAAAGGGATGTATTGGTTTGAAAATGGACTTGAACAATCATCAGAATAGTTGACAATTGATTTTCTAATCACCTCAGCTCTTCATCCAACATGAACCTGGAACATTTATTTCAAGATCCAATCGCACACACCTAATCTCACACAAACAAATCTCACACAAACAAATCTCAGTAATGTAAGCCTACACACTCCCATCCACTTAGGCCTAAATGCGGCAGCAGAGCCCCAGACACATGGTTACATGTCCTCTTTTTCTCTTTCCTCACCATCCAGTTTACCCCCCTGCTCTACCTTTCAGCCTTGCCTGTCACACTGATCACCTGTTCCTCTGCTTAGTTAGAAATAAATGACTGAAAACTGCAGCTCTTTCCCGCTGAGTCTAAGTTGTTCTTTCATGTTAGAGTCTCTATATGTGGAGGGGTAATTTCCTCCTCACCCCTGCAGATGTCTGCTCTCCAAACCCACTCCCAGTCTCAAGTCACGGATAATTAATTGAGAAGTTGCCTACACTGAGGATCATATGGGCAGATTCATTGGCGCTTGGAAGAGGTTAGCAAACACAGCCACTGGCTAATAGCGCTGCTACAAAGTTGTGAAATATCAACAAGACAACAGAGAAAGCGGTGCAGAACATTTAGATTTCAACATAATAGTTTTTCTAATGGTTCCCTTATGAAAGATGGAAATAAAAACAATAATTTCAGTCTTACTTCCAACAGGTATTATTATTGATGTATGGCAGTTTACACAAACGAAATAGCCGTCAACAAGATCGGAACCTGTCAACATTTTCTCCTAATTAAGTCTGTTGATGACACAGACCCATTTCTTCTTCTGATTCAAACTGATGCTTTTTGTTCCTCTTCTTTCTTTCATCATTCTCTCTCCCTCTTTGAAAACATAATTACCATCCCCTCTTATCCAAGCCATGTGCATGACATGGTTTCTTTCCTTTTGAGAACAGCATCATCAAATATTGCTCTCGTTCAGCTATCAGACCCTCCATCGGTTCCTCTCATCTCTTCACCTCGACCCTTTTCTCAGCCCGTAGGTCTTGTCTTTATCAGAATCTTCCATCTGTTTGAAAAATTATATGAAATACTCTCACTTTCTACTCTGTCTGTCAATGGAAGAGCTTCAAAAGGCCTCCCTTTGGCTTGGCGTGAAAAGTGACGGTTTCTGATGAAAGTTCTGCGTGTGCCAGCCCAGACGTTCTGATGTCATTAATGAACAAACACAGGGTGAAAGACAGATCTATACAGCAATAGCTACAGTTTATATTGTGTTCAGTTCAAGCAGAGCCTGCACAAGCAGATATCAGCGAAAGCTGTGAGTGCCTGCTGACTTCAGAAACAAATCAGCACTAAGAAGCACACCAAGAAGCTAAGCAACACGGGTAGAGGCGGCATCACAGTGTTGGGCCCCCTTTTCTCTATTCTTAGCTCTTCCTCCTTCTCTCACAGTCACACATGACTAGGTATAGAAGAGGAGAGGTGGAAGAGGCATCTTGAGTTTCTGTCTCAACAAAAATGGGATGGTATTTACAATTTAATAAAACACTGTATGTCTGGACTGTCTTTTTTTAACTACCACAAAGAGTGATGTGAAGAAGCATTTTGGATTTGACAGCATAGATAAAAATCATGAATAAAGTTGAGGCTGCCTCACAGTAACGTTACTGTAAGGCAGCTGGGTTAACGTTAGCACATCACTCAAGTGACACATCCGAGGCAGCGTGAAAGAAGGGAGCAACGTTAATTGTACAACATAGTTTAAGATTCAGCTTAACAGATTGCACTTGACTTCATTCAGACTACTAACTACAGATGGCTGATTCGTTGGAACTTGATTTTTTGTTAATGTTTTTTGTATAAGCTGTTTTAGAGAAGCCCCCAAAACAATTATTGGGAAAAACAACTAAACTTAATAACATTCAGAACATGAAGATAGAATTTACAATTGCAATGCAGGTCTGTTGTATTAAGCTAGAATGATGCTTCTGGAAAGAGCTCCCAGAAGAGCTGAGGTGCACACCCCCAAAATCTCAACAATGCATTGCACAGACCTGCACGTCAAGCAAGCTGATTGGTTGCTCCATCTCCTGTCAAGAGGCAGGTTCGAAACGGTGAAATAAAAAAAATAAACACCACACAAGTATAAATGAAAGGGCTACGCGAACGACCTCTGTGCTCTTTGCCTATGTGCAGAGAACTGGCAACCCAGTTAATGATAAATTCTTATTTCTTTTAGATTGTTTGTGTGAATCATTTCTTGAAAAAATGCATGGATGACGGCGGCATTCCTGAGGCATTGTGTAACTACTTCTCTCCCTCTCTCGCTCTCTGAGTAACAACTGGCTGTTCAGCACCTGTAATCCTTCAACGACTCAATCAGCATTTGTAAAGCTGGTCACGTGAGGCTCGTATCCAAAACTGTCTGTGAGCGCCAGCGTCAACATCTCGACGCCCATATATTCACGGCACTTCAATGCCGCCACTCTGTTCACGCTCCACCGATCACAACAGGGGCCATTCTGCCTGCCTGACAAGAAAGCCAGCACTCGGATCCCGTAATCCCCTCTACCCAACCCACTCTCCAAAGACTTGCAGCATCACGACGCTGCAACAACACGCCCCACCTAGGCCTTGTTGCTTACGCACTCAGAGCTACATCTGTCTATACAAAGCTGCCTCCTTCATCCACTGTCAGTGAAGCTCCTTCTGGATTTGCAGCCTGCGCCTGGGTCTTTGCCTGTCTCTTTTTCTGTCTGCCACACCTTAACCCCTTGCTTGCCCCTCTGACATGTTCTTTCCCCTTGTTTTTTTTAGATAGGAAATCTGCCCTAGAAACAGAGTTCACATGCAGCCAATACCCAACTGTTGAGACTGAAGATGAAGTTTTGATTTGAAATATTGTGGTGAGGAATTCAGAGGCTGTAGAGTGCAGTGTCTCTGCAGCATATGTGAGCAAAGAAATGAATGCAGTAGGTCTGCTCAGTGTTAAAGCTGTTGTGTTGTGAGGGAGGGACAAAACCAGCTTTCACACACCTCCTCTAAGTCACGCTTCAACAAAGAGGAGCATCATAATTAGATAGTTACATCAGATCCTGATTCGGTGGATGCAAATGGGGAAAGGCTCAGTTTAGATTTGTGAGCATTAACTAGTCTCACCCAAAGCTAAAAACCAATCCAGCCAAGAATCTAATCCGCGATGCCACCAAGAGACAAATCTTGGACTTGCTCCATTGGCAGCAGCCGGACACTGTAGCAGAACGCAGGATTTTGCACATTTTCTGTTCACACAGACACGATGAAAATTAAAAGTTCAAACACACTCTCCGCTGGTCTAAAAGTTCATTCTGTGCTCATGAACGGCATGTGTGAACTATCCCTTTGAGCTCTTTGTCACACTGCCTCTTAGAGTCTTTCCTTTATCTTTACATGTCCCTCCAACTTTTTAATGTGCCTTTTATCAAACTCCTGAGCGACTGCTGAAAGGAGCACAAGCTCAGCAATAAAATAGGCTCTGGCTTCCCCACTCTCTTGCTTTATATGGTTACTATTGTCTAGACCTGTTTTCCCTTGTGAAGCGGCACAACTCGTCGTTTTGATAGGCTTATTGAAGCTACAGGCTCGTTAACCCTTATCTCAACACATTCACAAAGCACCGCGAGAAAGAACGTGTGACGAAAGAGGACAGTTTGCCTTTTAGCACTATGAATGTTTTTCCCTCCCTCAAGAATTGCCAAAGGCTTCTACACATACATTTAAACATAAAGATTTATTAACATATGCTGGACTTTATTTGTCAAACTATTTACTAATGAATTTTTACTAACTTTGAAAAAATCAACAAAAAACGCTCCCATCCAATCCTGGAAAAAGACAAAGAAATTCCTCTACAACTTTTTGTTTAGAACCAATTATTCCCTATTAGTATTCCCTTTAGACGGTAGCAATAAAATATTTCTTGTAAATCTCAACTTAAACATTAATGTGATCAAATCAAACCAAAGCTATTTGCCACAGTCCAGAGCCACAATCATATCATCATAACAGGCACCTTCTGAGCAACAGGGGAACATATGTAAATCTGTTTTTTTTTCTGAATAATTATCAGCAGAAACATTTTTCTTTTATCAGGGAGCAGCATAAAGAAGTTGATTTGTCTTGAACTTTTTGTACGCGACGCAGAGCACAAATCATTGGCAGAGAGACTAATCCTCGCTGTTTGTGAGTTTCCAGAATCTCGTACTGTTACTAAATAGGACATCAACAGGAGAATTCGCATGGCAGAGCATCCCCGCAAAACTAGATGTAGGCCTATCAGGTAAAGTTATGTAGCCTATAATTTTAACTTAAGTTAAATAGGCTACAGCTGTATAGCGCACAGAAGCCGTTGCCTTGGTTACTATCGCCTGCCGTTTACTCGGTGGCTTCGGCAGACTAAGCTGGATGCAGCGTGTGGGAGAAGTAGATAAACAAAAAGCAAGACAAGCAAACAAAATATATCACAACCACTTTTGAAAAAACAAGTTCAATGTTCAGCTGAAATTTACCTCAGCAAATAAAGTGGATTTTTGGAGAAAAGTTTCAGTATATGCTCACAGACACCACAAATACAATTCTGGGATCAATGGCCTACCTTGAACATTGCCAGCCCGGATCTCCTCTCTACTCTTCAGAACTGGCATGATGGAGTGATCTGGGATTCGACTCCTCCTCTCATAGCCTCGGATGAAGGGATGGTAGACAGATGAAGTCACGCACAGAAGACTGAAGTGGGGTCTTACAGGTTGAGGGATGAGCGGTCTTGGTTTGGGAGAGGGCGGAGCTGGGCGATGCTAGGGCCTTATCAGTGTGGGGGAAGACGACTGTGCAATAATGTGTACAAAATTTAGAATAATTAACATTAAACCATTCATTAAAATACTATTAGTGAACACATGAGGACTGTATTTTGAGGTGTGCGGTGAGTTGCTGAGAAAAAATGATTTTACATTTTTAGAAAGAGGCCAAAATAGATGAATCTGCAGAGAAGCAGATCCAACCTTCTTAAAGTTGACTATCAAGTCAAAATGTCACCATGTCTGTGAACTCAATAAAGAAACTAAAAGATGATGGATGGTGAGTGATGGAGGGACGCTCTTTCCTTCGCCTCTTCCCATCCGATTCTCTTTCCACTTCCTCCAACGCTGGTGATACAGCTCGACGAGGTCTCCTCCCAGAAGTCTGTGAGCGTGTGAACGCAGTTGCCGTGGAGATGAGCAGCAGTGTGTCTGTGTGTCTGTGTGTGTGTGTGTGTGCGCTTGTGTGTGTGTGTGTGTGTGTGTGTGTGTGTGTGTGTGTGTGTGTGTGTGTGCGCGCGTGTACGTACTCCTCTTCTTCTTCTTCTTCCCTCCCTTCCTTCCTTCTTCTTCAGCTTTCTTTCACTCCTTGCCTTTGGTTGCTTTAGCCAGTCATGATCAATTTGCCAGTCCGCTCTGCGCTCTTCTCTTTCTCAGTCTGAAGGGGAGAAGAAGAGAAAGTCAGATGGCAGAGTATGGCTGTGGATAGATGTGTTGTTGGTGAAGGCTGAATGTCACTGTGTACACAAGCCAATTGCCTCTGAGGTCAAGGCTTAACTCAGTCAATCCGCTGTGTCTACATGCCCCCTTTCACTGCAATCTGAATGTGCTGAATGCTGTTGCCTAGAAATATTACTGTGCTATTTCTTTTATAGAAGATGCTCACGTTGCATGTTTTATACTTACTAGTGTGTCTTAAACTGTGGGTCCCAACATGATATCCTGATATGCACATATTAGGTTAGTCATTAGAGATTTTGCCATATTGTTTATATCAAAGTACCCCTTCTTTAATATCTCTGGTAATATTGGGGAACTTGTAATATTGGGGCACTTAAACTGCTTTATGGCTTGATTTGCTTTTTATATGTTTGCTGCATCAATGGGAATTACCTCAACTTGTCAGGTACTCAATTTCCCAGGTTTCCCCAAAATGGACATTCTGGTTATTTTATCATCAAAAATAAAAAATTTTCCAAACAAATTACCATCTAAGAATATAAAATTGCATACACTGTGACAGATTTTATCCATATCACCCACTCCTAATGTTTCTCTGTACTTATTTCGGACTTTTATTCATTTGTTTTCACAGATTTAAAAAACATGGCTCTCCCTTGCACTGGTATTTCCTGATATTGTGTGTTACTGGGATGTTTCCCCATGATTTTTCACTCAGTAAATAGTAACTAATCTCACAAGGTTTGACATGTGAGATGTTTGAATTTGTGTCTAATATATATATTTGTGCCTTTAATGATACTGGGCTAATGTAGATTATATGGTGGTTAATTATGGTCCATTGGTCAATTTTGTATCGCAAAATAAAAAAATCTCCCACAGTCATCTGAAAACCTTTGGGATGGCTGTTGGTTGGACAAAAAAATACATTGTAAGACATCATCTTGGACTCCAGGGAAAGTGTGATGGCTATTTTTCATCTATTTTCTCATTTTTATAGACCAAATGATCAATTGATCAAGAAAATAATCGACATATTAATCAATATTGAACATTATTGTTAGTTACAGCCATAGTAATGTATGTTCTGTCTAATGTTTCATCCTCCAGCTCTTTAGCAGATCAAGGGAGTTGTCATTATACACATTTATATGCTCACAGGGAAATGTGGGTGTGTTTATCTGTGTATTTTGAGGAAGTCGGCTATGTAGGTATACACGATTTAGCCTTAAGAAAATTGTCGGAGGATATCTGCACGTGTAGAATTTTAATCCTGTCTGGCAGTGAATGAATTATTCATTCAACAAATTTTATTTACCAAAATCCATCTTTCTCTCTCACTCCCTCAAAGTCTAATTATTTCTGACTCTCATAGTAATATTAAAATGACACTGATAGCTTGACTCATGCAGAATATTGCTGTATATCCTTAAAAACTCCCTAGAATAAAACAACTGAATAAGATTTATTTGTTTGCTTGGTTTCCTCACTATGTCATGTATCAACAGTTTTTTTTTTTAAGATAATGAATTATGTTATTTGGTTACTTTTATTTTTACTGAAGCCAAGGTTTAAATGCATGTATGTATCTCAATTCCTTAATTTATCAAAATCAAAATGTGTGGCAAATATATATTTTTTGTCCAGGTGAAACAAGACAAGGACCATGTTTTTCTGGTCAGTACAACTTTTTTATTTATTATTTGGTTTAGGGAAAGCAGCGTTTTGATGTGAATTAAACTAACTTGTGTTCTTGATATGCTAGGCATCTAAAGATCTCAGCAATCAGTCTTAATACTTGTCTTCATTAGGCTGAAACCCAAGAGGTGAGTATGCCCTTTGTTATGCTATGTTTGCACATGAATGTCAAGAAACCTGAGGATATTTTTAAACAGTAAGTGACAGCAGAACATCTTAAGACACTTAAACAGTGTGTGTTGTTAAGGTCAGGTCTTGAATGACAGGAATCACCTTCTTTAGAAAGATTTCAGCATGGGCAAAAGATACAGACTTCACTCGGGAAATGTTCAATAATTTGCTTTTTATGTGTGAAACAATTAAGAGTGACTCAATTTGTTCTTGCTTTGTTTAATAGTTAAGTTAATTAACAATTTCAATTCAAAGTAAGACTTCTGGTTATAAAAAGGCTAACAGCATCAGCTCACTAAGGCAACACATGATGCACTCTGAGACAGAAAGCCTAGTATATCATATATGGTGTACAGTGTGCTCATTAAGGTCATGCTGAAGAGTTTGATACAGTAAAGCTGCTGTATGAGTCACAAGAGATCTGTGATTCACGAGATCTGTTGCAGATCCATCGAGCAGAACAAGAAATGTAATGGAGGAGGAGGAGGAGGAGGAGGAGGAGGAGGAGGGCATCAGCATAGCATTGGCTAACAAACCTCAACCAACTGAAAAGGCACAATAAGGAGAGGAAGAGGACAAAAATTAATGCATATAAATGCATGCACCTGCACACTGCACTCAACTAATTGAGAAAGGCAACTTGACTAATTGAGAGAGCGGATGGAGAGAGATTTTAGCAAATTAACTAATTGAGAGTGTTGAAGCTGCTGTCTGCCATGAATTAGAAATCACCCTTGAGTGATAAATCTCTCTTGCTTAAAATCACCATTGAGAGAAGTGATAGTGCATGAAATCCTTAGAGATACACCAGTAAATATATAGAAAATGGATAAAGATCAAATTCATGGCCTGATAGAAAACCAATTAGTCACAGCAGGGTGAAGAAAGGTTTAGGAGTATAAGCAAATGTGGTGAAAAATATAAAACAAATTACCCTTCACAAAGAACCTGCTCATGAAAGTTCATGCAGAACATCTATCAGTATCATGCAGACATTCAAATGCACACACACACACACACACACACACACACACACACACACACACACACACACACACACACACATACACACACTGCCTGATTAGCTGTACTTTTGCACTCACACTCACACACACATACACACACACACACACACACATACACACACACACACTGCCTGATTAGCTGTACGTTTGCACTCACACACAGATTCAGTGCACACACCTACTACTGTTCATGCATGTGCATACACTTAGTTGCGAAGAGGAAGTGGGTGCTATATTAATTCACTACTCACCTAATTAACTCTTTTCTGTAACACATAATTTATAGACTGTAGTGGAGATGTTTTACAGAGGAGCAGAGTTGAGACACAAAAGCAAAGACAGAGCAAAACGAGTGGTCCTTCATATTCCTTCACGATGACATCCCACTCTCAGAACAAGAAAGAGGTATTTATTAAGCCACTTTATCAGTCCATAAGAAAAGGGGAAAGCAGACTAAAGTGGCTGGTGTGGGCCTACGCTACTGGGTGTAATTTTTCACCTTAATGCTGAGCGCACAGTCAATTTTAGGTAGATGTCCATGGATATATGGGCTAAAAACAAATAATCTAGCAGTGGCTTTAAAACAGCGCTCCCAAAAAGGTGTGTCAGTGACAAGTAGAGACGAAGCATCAAATACAACGTAAAGAAAGAAGGAAAATGTGACAGAGCAAAAGAGAGGGGTAGTGATGAGATGGGATGTTATATTCTATCTATGTTTAATCTGTCTATGAGTCTGTCTCTATTGACAACCTGCACACTGTCGATTATACCTCAAATCCACCGCAAGGCATTACCCACTTAATCCACTGTTTGGCATCCAACTAATGCCAACTGGTCTCTCTTGCCTGATAGGAGGACGAGAATGAATACAAGTGGAGGGGGAAGAGCTTCAGAAATGAAAAATGGACGGTTTTGGATGAAAACCGACCAAAATGAGGGAAGCGAAAATTGAAAACATGCAGAAGCACGAGGATTCAATTCTGAAAAATATTTTGATGATAATAAGGAGGGTATTTAGGTTTTAGGGTTGTGTGTGTGTGTTGGGAGGATTGTGTGAGAAGGGTCAGTAAAAAGAACTAATGGCTGCTGATGGACTGGCAGAATGAAAATGAACACAAATCAAGCATGAAATGAGATACACTCTTAATGACTTGAGATGGCCATTAGCTCCAAACTTTGAATGCAGCTCAATAAATAACATGAAGAGAATCTCATGTAGTTTACACAAAATTTTTAAATTTTGCCAAATTGACATCAAAAATAAAAAGGACGCCAAAGTGCCTGTAAATAAATTTCATTCTCCCTTAGGACTAAACAAAATGTTTCTTCACAACAGGTTGCAAAACAAATTGATGTCTTTATCAAATGGAAAAGGGGACATGACAAGTGGACAGATAAAAAGATTTCTCAAAGACAACAATTAAAAATGGGCACACGTTGCCATGATGAGAAGAACAGATGAGGAGGAGACCAGACCAATATTGACTCACAGAACACTGTCTTTTTAGGCATAGTTTAGTGTGCGAGTGCATGTGTGTGTTGATGTGTGTTTTATGTATACGTAAAGCACACACAAATACACACAGACAGACAGATAGACAGACACTAAACGAAAGTTAACCTACCTAGAGTAACATTTAAGAATCCCGCAAGAGTGTGATGCAAAGAAAATGGGTGTGGAGGGACCAAAAGAGAAGGAAAGGGGGGGGAAAAAAGAGTCATTCATGAGGATTTTTTTAGTTGTCTTTGAAGAAAATTCATCCAAGTTCAAATAACATCAGACTTTAGAGATAGAAAGAGGTGTAGGATGGTGGATGATGAACTGATGGCAGCAGTTAGAGATGAAATGGCTATAAGGGACTGACAGGTATGAGATGGTTTGGTGAAAGGGAGGGAAGAGCGGAGAGGAGGAAAGAAAGGACAAAAATGAAAACAAAACTCCTCCCTGCTTTCTCTTTTTTCTCACTCATAAATAGAAGAAATTATACACCAGGTAGATGGAGAAATAGATGAGAAGGCAAATGATGGACAGAGAGACTATATGAAAAGATGAAGCACCTCCCAGCACCGCGATGAGGAATAAGAAAAATATAAAACGAAAGAAAAAATGGAATACTCCAAAGCCTTCCGTTTTTGCTCTGTTTAGTGAGGCGAGGGGGGCTGTCAGTTATATCCCCCTCTCTCTGCAACTGGTCAGTCTTCCTTTTTATCTTCTGTCCTCCTCAAAGCAAGAAGCCACCTTCCCTTCAGATGAGCTGTAACCCTTTGCCAACACAGCTGTTAGACATGGCATTCAGGCTGGCTGCGTGGTGGGGTGCTGCTACCCAAAGATACAGAGCGTGGAGCCGAAACACACCTCTGGCTGGTATAGAGCGCAGAGCACAACTCAAACTGCACTCGCTTGCTCTCATCCCCCTCCTCTAGAGAGAGAGGAGGAGGGAGAGAGAGAAAGCCACAGACAGAGAGAGACGGAGAGAGAGATGTGTAGGTGGGTCCCTCTATAGGATTGTGAATTAGAGATGCTACAGTAAAGAAGGGCTGCTGCAACAATTGTCAAGCAAATTGTTTCAATAAAGAAAGCAATGGCTCCCTCTATTGTTACGCAGTGCTCAGATATTAAAATAAAATTGTCAACTGTGAGGTTTAGTTAGAGATTGATTACTTAGAGAATACAATGAAACCAATATATCTTTCTAAAAGACGTTTTTCTTATTTAAAGCATGGATGTTATTATGTCAGCTGATGTTATTTTTTGTAGTGAGAAATTATTATTAGTTCATACCAGCCTATAAATGGCTAATCTGCTACATCCCGGATCACTTCTCATTACCCAAACCTGCCTTGATCATGTTGAAAAAACAAATGTTAATTTATTTGTCATTTAATCCAAATACCAACAATGGTCCCAGCAACATTTCAGTAACGGTGAACTGTATTTTACACTGCATTCTCTCACTTTCTCTATACTTGGTTTACACTTCCATCAAAATCTGAAACCTGGTAAATTCTCTTTAGTAACAAACTTATAATAAATGTACTCTTCAGTTGTTTATGAAGATTCTCAGTCATCCAGGTCATAGTTATCCAACGAAGGTTAAAATCAAGGGCAACTGGACTTGGACTTGGACTGGACCTTATCCAAAAGACTTCTTCAGTTCTGACTGACTGGCAGGGAAACTCAGCTATTTAACCTCAGTGGGGTCGTTGGCCCGGGTCATCGATACCGCTGGTTCGTTAGTGTTCCTTGTTGCTGTGACGACAGTCGTTACAGTCGTTAAGACTACCTGTGGCCAAGACTGAACGACCATCGTTGGTATCTTCACCTGAGGCCAATTGGTTACGTTTGTTGAGTTTCCTGGGAAGAGATGAAAAGACAGCATTGTAAGTGGGGGATAAGTGGTGGCGTAGACCCCCTCCCTGTTCAATGACGGCTTCTCAACCCTGGTGTAGATGGCTTCCTTGACACCTCTTTCAAACCATCCATCTTCTCTGTCTAAAATGTGCACCCGGTGGTCCTCAAACGAGTGTCCTCTGTCCTTCAGATGTAAGTAGACTGCAGAGTCTTGACCTGAGGAGTTGGCCCTTCTGTGTTGAGCCATGCGTTTGTGTAGTGGTTGTTTAGTCTCCCCAATATACAGGTCTGTGCATTCCTCACTGCATTGAACCGCATACACTAGATTGCTTTTCTTGTGTTTGGGTGTGCGGTCTTTGGGGTGGACCAAAGACCACTGTCTTAGTGTGTTCTTGGGTTTAAAAAACACAGGGATGTTATGTTTGTTGAAAATCCTCCTGAGTTTCTCTGATACTCCAGACACGTATGGAATCACAATGTTGTTGCGTTTGACCTTCTTTTCCTCCTCCCCTGTAGTTTTGTTCTTCTTGGATCTTGTGGCTGTTTTCACAAAGGTCCATTTAGGGTATCCACAGGCTGTAAGTGCCCCCTTCAGGTGGTTCTGTTCCTTCTCTCTGGCTTGGGCGCTTGTTGGTATGTTTTCCGCTCTGTGGTGTAGTGTTCTCATGACCCCTAGCTTGTGCTCCAGTGGGTGGTGGGAATCGAACAGTAGGTATTGGTCTGTGTGTGTGGGTTTTCTGTAAACACCAATCTGCAGGCTCCTGTCCTCTTCAATGTGTACAGCGCAGTCCAGGAAGGCCAAACTGTTGTTGTGAACATCTTCTCGTGTGAACTTGATGTTACTGTCCAGTATCTTCAACCAAGTCCAGTTTCCCTTGATTTTTAAGCTTTGTTGGGTACTCTTCAGTTGTTGAGCTAAGTACATTTACTTGCTTGAAGTGGAAAAAAATTGGTTCCAGTGCTCTCCATTTACGTTTTAGCCCCCGTTAATGCTTAGTAACTTGCCATAATCATAACCATTTATGCAGAACTAGTTCAACATTTCAAAAGTTTGCTGACTGGCGCTTTAATACTTCTCTTCTTCAAGATCCCGATTTTGACAGCCAAATCAAAAGAGAGTGGAGATCTTTCCTAGAAAGAAATGATTCCCCTGGGTCATCTCCAACTCTTTTGTGGGAAACAGGAAAGGCTGTTCTAAGCGGAAAAATAATATAATTCTTTCAAGGAAAAAAAACAAGAAGCTGAACTGGAATAAAAAAATCTAATAACTTGAAAACATTAATACAACCAACCCGACAGAGGATAACCAAAATGAATTAAGAAAAAATACATCTCTGCTAAATGAAAGTGTGAATGGGCGAACTCAATTTATGATACAAAGGCTCAGACAAGAACATTTCCACCCCAAAAATTAATGTGGTAAGTACGTGACAAATCAAATCAAACAAAAACAAAGAAAAATCTCTATCATTAAGGACTCAGCAGGGACGCCTACCAATTCACCAGATGAGATAAATGAAATCTTTCAAAAATTTTATAGCAATTTCTACTCATCAGAAATTGACCCACGTCAAGAGGACTCATTTCTTAATAGTATTGATTTACCACAATTTAATTAAAATCAAACCAGATGACTTCATTCATCAGTAACTCAACTCAAATTTAAGCCTAATAATAAAGCACCTGGAACGGACGGCTTCCCTGGTGAGTTCTATAAATATTTCTGGCCCATAATAGCTCCACTTTATAAACAGTCTCCGTGTGTTGCTGTGTGCGTGTTGGTCTTTAATGAAACCAATTTGATCTGGATGGATTATGGAAGCGATGACTTTTTTACTCTGTGGGCTAGTGCTTTGCTGATGATTTTTATGTTTATATTGATGAGAGATATGGGGCGGTAACTTGATTGTAAAGTTGCATTGGTTTTATGAGGAGTGAAATTATGGCTGTGTCAAAATTAGCTGGAAATTTAGAATTGTCTTTTGTTTCAGTTATCATCCGGTTAACTTAATGCATTACTCATCATTACAAGAAGCAAGAACCATCATATACTTAAAAGGCTTTGGATAAGGTAAACTGGAATATCACAATCAGACAAGACAATATCCATACTATCAAATAAATGGGAGATAGACTTATCTATCACTCCTGATGCCGACTTCTGGAGCCAAATTTGCAAAAACATCTGTTTCATGACAAAGAATGCTAACCTACAACTCATACAATATAAGGTACTCCACAGAATTCATTACACTGGGCAAAGATTGTTTAAAATGGGATTCACATCCAAAACTTGTTCACATTGCGCACAAAATAACCCTGATAATTATATTCACGCCACCTGGAACTGCATACCAATTAAACAATTTTGGAAAGACACTACATCATTATCCATTTTCCTGGGTTGCCACATCCCCACTATCACCTTCCCTCTGCTTACTGGGAGACATATCAACAATCAATCTGGAAAACAAGGAAAACAATAGATTACTCCTTGTGGCCTAACTATTGCCAAGAAAATCATCCTCATGAACTGGAAAACAAGGACCGCCATACATATAACACATTGGAAAAACTTACTGATAGAGTACATATCTATGGAAAACTTATCTGACCCCATCACCAACATCCCAATAGACCCACACTCAACCTGGACATCACTTATTAAATTCATTCAATCCTGATTCCATTGTTTTTGCCTGATCAACCAACTATATCAGACACAAAGTGTGTTTTAACAATATCTTCTATCATCAGGGAAAGGGGAAACATTAGGCAGAAGGGAGGACAAGGAAAAATAAGGGGGAATAGAAAGAATAATTTATATATTGCTGTATCGAGCTGCTTTTCTTTGACTCAGTTCATGCTAATTTATTTATTAGTTATTTGTTTACACTCCATTTTCTTGCTATTGCTGCTACCATCTATATCACTACATCAAACCTGATTTTATTAATAATGTTATGACTACTATTTCTGTTATCTCAGACATTATTATCTAGACAAAATTATGATATGATGTTTTTATTATTATTATTATATATATATACATAACCACTTAGATATGTGTGACCTTTTTTACAAGTGTGCATGTATGTGCATGTTGTGTGTACATATATATATATAGGTATGTTTATATGTATGCATACGTGTTTATATAGGTGAGTGTACATGTACACATAGCCACTTAGTCTTTTTTATTTTATTATTTATTTATTTATTAAATATACAGCTCTGGAAAAAATT